GGTTCCTGCAGGAAGCCTCTGCAGACTTGCCAGATCTCTATGAAAGATGCAGGAGAAACCTTCTGGGACAGATATAAATCAAACTGAATTAGAAGTACAGCTGAAGAGGTAGGCATAGCCTGTCGCCAGCACACCTAGTCACCTCCAGTTTTCTGCTCGCTTGGAACATTTCTTAGGCTCTATTGAACAAATGTCAGGATACTCCTCATTTTTAAACAACTTTCCAATTGTGCCACTGCTTGTTTGTGTATATATGTATGTATTTAGATAGATGGAAACACATACATGCACACATCAGTGTTTATTAACTCTCACTGAATACAGCCCCAAAGTCAGTCCTTAAAGAAAAGACATGCCATAAAACTTTTCCATAACATTGTTAATATAAATTTCATATTTAAATTAGATTGAAAGTGACATATAAATTCAATGGCATAAGATACTTCTATGTTTCAGAAATTTCCAGACTGACTGTGGATAGCTTAGTGTGATAACAAGACAATCAGCTCTATCACAATGCTCACCGTCTTCCTTTCACATTCATTGCTAGATTTCAAATTAGTAATGCTATCCTGGGGTAATGCTGATGAGAAAGGAGATCCAGCTTCCCTCTTTTGTGTCATTAAATAAAAGTGTGTCCAGCTTGTGTGACGTGCTTGGCAGCAGTGATATTTTAATATTGTTAGGAGCGGGAAATATTTTCCTTGCCAGTAATGAGGTTCAGTGTCAGCTAAAGGTGGTGCCCCACAGGAAGATTTTAAACAGAATTACTATATTCTAATACAAAAGAGGCTAGAAATATGCTATTTTTGTGAAAGGCGTTCAGTATGGAGTGATCCTCGCTAATGAGGAAGGGACCTGCCAGAGCTATTTTTAGTTCCACCCGCTGGTTTCACTGCTATTCTTATAGCTATGACTGGCAGTGAAATAGGATGGTGGTGTCTGTTCTCATCTAGAAATGGAAGAAGAATGGAAATATGTCCGTGCATAAAGATGAAAAGATAAAAAGAGCAAGAGCTGAAGAAAAAGTGAACTTCCCTATGTAGCTGCAGATGTGACATTCATTTTATCTTTCCTTGGAAGGGTTTTTCTTCTGCAAGGCCACATTTCTTGTCTGATCTAAGGGCTAGCAGTGTGCCAGGTGCAGTCTTGGGACTGCAAGTTTTACTTGGAAATTATTACAGTTAAGAGAAACCATTAAATAATTTCCTTTATTGTTTTGGAGACCTAAACCAATACTTCAGCTTTATACTAATGCTTCACTGAAACAGTGAGGCTGAGAGGTATTCACCTTATATATCATCACTTGGGAGAAGGAAAATACATCAATGAATCATACGCAGGATAGTAAAACATAAAAAAAAATAAACATGGAGTCAGGCAGGGCTCCTTGCTGCTGCTATTGCAAAGCAGCAGCACAGGCTTTTTTCATTAGCAGCAAAGAGGAGAATAGTATATACACAAAGAACACTTTACACAGCCAGCGTGATTATTTGCTATACCTGCTTTGCTTTCTATTTCAGCTGTGACTTTTTTTTTCTGTTCTTCCTGCGAGGAACAAGTCTTAGATTTCAGAGTTTCACTAGGGAGATGAAGATTTTATTTCAAGCTCCATTTTCTTTGATGCGGCTTTGTCCTGACTTTATGAGTGAAATGTGGATGTATAAAAAAGTGACAAGACAGGGAGACATGGAGAACCTGGACTTCAGGAACTCCAGAATCAGAATCCAATAAAAGTTGACTTTAAAACTTACAGAAAGAATAAATGAAAAGATGAAAACTTGCTCAGTAGGTTGATTGGGTTTTCTTTTTTTTTTTTTTCATTAGGATTCATGAGTTGAGGTGGCGGTGATTCAAATAACTATTTTATAATGATAATTTAATTTTTTCTGTAAGGATGGTCTTATTCTTAAGACTAGAACTAAGACCAGAATTTGAAGGTTTCGTTGCCATCAAGAGTTCGAGCGCACTCTGGATCCTCTGATGATGGTAGTTACCCTGCTGATCTCAAAGGGACATCACTGAGAGCTACTTGCTTCTGCATCCTCTTGTAGCTGCCCCTAAATTGCTCAGCTGTGCATTTTGCAGTGACAGTAGGGGGCTTTTCCCCCCTTCAAACCAACCTAAAGCTTTGTTTTAACCATGCACAAGCCATGAAAGAAGCAATGATGGGGTTTGCTGGACCAGAGCTCCTGGTCTGCATGAGCAGTTACTGCATCTGTTGGCACCAGGTTTGCTGTTGACCAGAAATGTGATTTGCTGCATCATATTGAGGACAGTGCTCTGTGCTTGTGTAGTGGTGTGATGTGGAACATGTCAGCCTGCTGCAGGGTATGTGTGAGGAAACCAAAGGGCAAGTACACTTCCATAAATTATATGTTTTTGCTGTGGAAGAAATGCCAGACAGGTGAGGAATTGATCAGGAAAAAAATAATTCAAAAGTTTTTTTATGGAGTAATATATCTTGTCATCCCGTGATCTGCATGTAGAAAGAAAAAAAAGGTTCAAACTTTTGTTGTTTTCTTGATTTCCACCTTCTTTAAAATGTGTGGATGAATCATACTTTAGAATTAAAAGAACAAACCTCATTTAAAACCTTACTGCAGTCGCTCACAAAAGCCCTAAAACCAGCTAGAGATGGGGCTGAAAGATGTGTGAGAGCACCCAAGATGGAGGTTTGAATTATGAGCTTTGTGTGGCATTTGCCACTGTTGTACTGTGAGAGCACAGTTAAATCATCTTCTACTACTATTTCTGAACTCAGGTACAAACTGTGACCTGATCTGGTGGACAAAGACATTCAACAACAGCTTTATCAATTTTTAGTTATTTATTAACCATATTAGTCCATCATTACCCCATTTCTAATTCTGTGAATTGGATGATTTTTTTTTAGAGGGGCAAAAGGAGCTGAGTTTTCTTTGGTAACTTTGACCAGGCTGAGGGCTCTTTTGTGTCTCTCTAATGTTGCTTGTCTTCACCCTTCTGTGCGTGCTCTGACCTCTCTTAGTGTGCTTGTGGGGTGTCCCCAGCATGGCTGGCTGGCTGGAGATTGCCCTGGAAATGTTTGCTGAGGACCTTCTGGCAAAGACTGGAAGGAGGTTGTGTTTCTCCTCTAGGGATGGCACATAGCTACACCATCCTCCCAGGGTCCTCAGAGGTCCTAATCTTTGCAGCCTTTTTGCATGGCACAGAGGGAGGTGGGGACCCAACATGCTGCAGAGGGAAATCCCAGCTCCAAGCCATAATCCTGAGGAGGTCCAGGAGCTTCACTGCAAAAAGCCAAGACAGGTGGGAGGGATTGAGGTGATCATCAAGCACGTGCACAATGGAGAGAGATACTAGGTTAAACTAAATTATATGTGTGGATCTCAGCAGGGTTTGACCTTCTCACCATTTATCGCTGTTAAAGAGAGGCAGTTCAGAGCAGGACCAAACGCAGACTTTCACATGCCAAGAGAACTGTATTGAAAGCTCCACAAAGCTCCAGGCTGGCGTGGGAGCCTAGCTAGGGTAGAGTATGTTGTGCCTTCCCTGCCTTGTTCTGAGAGATCTCTGTTTTGGGCACCAAATAGCAGCAGTTATATTTGCATATGATATCACTTCTGTAGAAGAAGCGAGTTATTCATGAGCAGTAGCATCTTCACATCACATACAACTGCAGACATGGTTGAGAAAACAACTGTTTAATTGAAGTAGAAATGACACTGGGAAATTAAAAGAGGCTGCAAAAACCTCCCAAGTAGTTATTACTCACTCAAAGCAAATCCTAGCTAGACATGTAAGGCATGGGATGCATACAAAGTTCTGGGAGAAACAGAATTTATGGGTAGACATACCTCTGCCCTCAAGACATGTGTTGTTTCTTCAGCTGGTCCCCCAAACTCTCTTTAAATAAATAGTTTGGGATAACTTTTCTCTGATTCTCTGGAGTACGGAGCATGCTGCAAGGGACAAAAACCCACACCCAACAGACTGGTGACTCAAAATATAGAGGCTACTGCCTGTCCCTCTGGTGGGATTCCTGCAAAGACAACCTGCCTCTACAGTGGGTCCATCAGGTGATTCTACTGACATTAACACCACTGGGCACAGGGTGTGATGGTGCCACGGGCACTGTGCCTGCACAGCGATGCTGTCTCTGCCCGGGCTGTCACTGCCCAGGCTCCCGCCTGTGCAGACCATGTCAGAGCCGGGTCTGAGAGGCTCCAGAGAGCTCCACAAGGAAGGACAGCCATAGTCAAGTATTTTTGTCCTCGGTTCTGCTTATCCTGAATCAGTTCTCCCAGCTTCTTTCTGTGATTTCTTTCCTTCTGTAGCAGCTGTCTGGGATTTCAGCTGTTCTGTATGAGCAGAGGTGCCAGCACCCTTTTTAAATCACTACAGAAAAGTAAGGGTGCATTTTCTATTGTGCGAGAAAGAAGAAAGGACAAAGTTTGGGGTTTGATTGTGGTTTTTTGGTTTTTGGGTTTTTTTGTTTTCCCCTTGTGCTTTCCAAGTGCTTGTCAGAGATAACTAGAGGAGGTCTGGAAGTTATTCACAAATTAATTAGCCTCTGAAACGCCAGAACTGGCAGCCACGGCAGCTCAGCCTGGAGCAGCCGCATCCCTGCAGCAATCAGTTATATTCCCGTTGCTCTCCGGGGGAACGTTAAGGGTTAATCCAGTAGCTGTGCATTTAATAGCACAATTTAAAGGGGAAAAAATGACACCCTTCTCCCCTGCCTTGCTGGTTGCGGATGGTTCGCTCTGCCTGGCTGATCACATGCTCCCGAGCCCCCGGTGCTGCAGCAGCCCCAGCTGCTGCTGCTGATGGGTCGGTGCTGCCCGGGACGCCCCCGGCCCCCGCCTGCCCATGCCCGGCAGCCCTCACCTCCGCTTTAAGGGAGGGAGGGCGCAGGATGAGCCCTTGAGCATATGGGTGGAAATTTGGGAGGTACCCATTCTCTCACAACCGTTTCCAGCTCTAACCATGTCTATTTGTTGTTGCCTTTTTTTCAGGGACTATGGATCTTCAAAGAGAAAATCAGGTAAGACACCAGCTTTTTTTTTTTTTTTTTTTTTAATATATATGTACTGCATGATTATAGAGAAGACCTTGCCCCCTGCTTTCCCCTGTTAAACCTTCCATTTATTTTGTGTGGCATGAAATTGTATAGCAGTTTAACTTTTTATTACTGAATCCTGCTGGAGATAAGCATCAGGTTTTTTTCTTTTGCTGGAGAGAAGAAATCCACCTTATATAGTATTGCAGTTAAAATGACTGCTCTTCTCTGGTTGTATTTATATAGCTCTGTCTCAAATCTGAAAGGATAACTGTATTAAATTTCTTTCTCTTTCATTACAAATGGTCAAAATGCAGACTCAGAGTTGGGGTTCTTTTCTGGAGGGGAAGGGAATCCTTTTCTGTTCTGGTTTGAATCTTTTATTTTGCCTTTCCAAGAGGCTCTGGTGAGGCTTCTGATGCAAAATGTTCTCAGTGTCTGTACCTGGATTTGGGTTGCCTCAAAGGCTCTAGCTCAGTGTTTTGTTTTTAAAATCCTGGATTGAAACGTCCTATGAAACTGTGATTTGAAACTATATAAATCTAATTTTTCCCCTTCCCATGTAGCTCTTAGTGATTTTTACAGATGTGTTTTCAATAGGGACGTGTAATTATGGGCCTCTGGGTTTGGCTGCTCTGAGCTGGATGTGTCAGGGCTTTCTATTTTTTTGTTTTTCAATTTTTTTTCTCCAAGCAGCATTGAGCACCTGCAACTCTCATTGACTTTGTTTGGAATCTTGGATGCTCCAAATTGCATTCAGGGAGAGGCCTTTCAAACCAACAGCAACTCCTGGAAAACTCTGACATGTGTGCAGGGGAGGGGAGGATTTTTTGATTCTTGCTTTTTAAGATGATAAAGAAACACTGCACTGGCTTAGTCTCTGGGAAGGAAGGGAAGATGAATGTAATGCACTGGACTGCAATGAAGATCACTGCATAGATTGATTTGTTGGTTAATTATTAGGGCTTTTAAGCTGTCATCCTGTAATAAGCTAAGTGATACACTTAAGTGAAGCTTTTAGTTAACCCTGATGGCCTCTGCATCAAATGGCAGTTTCCTTTGCAGGCCAATACTTTTAGTACCTTTCCCTGAATGTCCCTGCAATGTGTTGTCGTAATGAAGAGGCAAGTGTGGTACAAGGTGCTGGTCCAACACAATAAACTAGGGCATGCTTTGTCTTCCTAATCTTCTAAAAAACTTCTATCTGGGTTGCACTTCTAGGACCTCCTAAATGTAATGTAAAAGTGTGTTTTTACAACAGCCTATGAATTAAGCAGCAGTGCTTTCTCCAAAGAGGTTGACCATAAATGCAAAGGTCCAAGTAACTTGGTGGAAGGCAGAGCTGAGGGTGGGAGTTCCTGGCTCAGTGCCACATCCTGAGCACTGGTGGCTTTTGGGCCATGTAAAGCCCATTGAAAAACATTGCTGAAGTCTCTGGGACAACCTGATTTAGCACTGACGAGAACAGCATTAGCAGACCAGGAGAGCTTTGGGCTCATTGCACCAGTTGACATGAAAGAGTATTGCAACTCATGTGCAAGAGATGCAAGGAACTGCTTGGGGAGTGGAAGGAAACTTCTGCATTTCCATTCCTGTGGCTCTGGCGGCAAGTTGGAGATGATTTGCCACGACACTGTGAAAAGAGCAATTAAGTTGAGTCAGTGTAGCTGAGATGCCATTTGTGGATGCTGGACTCTTTGGCCCCCTGACCTGAGCATCCCAAGTGACACGTTCGTCTATCCCTGTGAGGGACAGTCTGGTCAGCCTCCCTCCTTTGCCATATCTCCTTCTGTGACTGTTTCCTCTTCTCTGCTTCTTGGTGCTGGGCTGCTTGCACAGCTAAGGCTTGGAAAAAGTGGGGCTTAGGGATGCTTTTTCTCCACTTACCCTGTACAAAGAGGAATGCAAAGCAGCTCTCTGAACAAAGTGAACTGTATAAAGGGACTCTGTTCTTGGCCATCTTCTTGCTTGATTTTAGAGTGGCAGAGGAATGCTTCCTTCTGTTTGGAGCTGGATACTGTGGGAGTGTGTACACAATGAGCGAAGGAATATGCCAAGGGAGTTGGCAATTACAGCCTCTAACAAAGACCAGCTTTATGACATTTGAACAAGTAATGGGGTAAATAAGCACAGATTTTCAGGATTGCTGTGAGGGTCTTTTAAGACAAAAATTAGCTTTGAAATGTAGTTTCCTCTGTAGGTGCAGACACTACTCCATCTTTAAGTGAAAGACAAATCTGCACTTTTAAATGCAAGCAACAAATGGGACCTGTGAACACATCTTCTGTCTTGACCAAAGATGTGCTGGAAGGAGGATTTTGGGTGTGAGCACAGCTGTCCCACACTGTCCAGCAGGAATCCCACAGCTGCTGTGTCTCAGGCATGTGCAGGCACGACACGAGCATGGCCAATTGCAGAAACATGTGGAGAATGCCTCTAACAGCCACCATCACCTCTACTCTGACCTCTGCCTTGCCAGAGTGAGTGTCTAGCTAGTCCTGTGCTTGCCCCTGAGAGAAGGGAGAAACTGGATAAGTTCAGAGTTTAACAGGAGTTATGGAAACATTTATCGCTGCAGCTAATACTGGTTGTAAACATTTGAGACCTCCTGAACCAAATGCAACAGCATGGCACATCCTTAGCTAAACAAAAGGGGGTCTTGCGCTGATCTGGGGCATCTTTGCATGCCAGCCCTGAGCCAGGCTTCCTCTTGTGCAAAGTGCTATGTAAACACACAGCCCTTTGCTTGGATGTGATCTAATCATAAATGCTTTAACCTGCAGTCAGCTTGAAGGCCTGGAGCTTCAATGGAAGCAACTGAGGCTCTGAAATCACGGGCGTTTGTGGTGGCCCGAACTGCAGTGTGTGTTGATGTGCTGAGACCTTAAACCTGTGGGGCTTTATTTGACATGCTGTGGAGATGCTTCCAAAAGCTTCCTTCATGTTTCCAGGCAATTGAATTGTTGCTCTATGACCATCTGTCAGTGCTGAAGAGCCCTCAGCACAACTGTGAGGAGTGGTTACCATGGGCATATTCTGTATGCTCACAAGAAGTGGTCTCATCTTGGTCCATCCAAAGACCCTCTGTAGTAAAACCAGAAGGTATTACTTTTCAGGCTCCAATTTGTTGATCCCATAAGCCAAGTGAACAGCTACTCATTTGTCACTCAAAATAGACATTATTCTATGCCGGCATCCATTGTGTGGTTTTTCTGTCCTCAAATCAAAATAAGGGTAGAATTGCTGCAAGTCTAATAATGGATATTTGCATGGTACATTACAAACCAGAAATTAGGTTAATCCACTCTGCAAACCCTACCAGCTACCATCTGTGCATGGTGAACTAATTAACCCTTGAGATATCTGCTAATCCTGGTGTGGCTTGTAAAACTAATTGGAGCGTGTTTATTCCCAAAGATGTCATTTTGTCCCCCACATACGCCTTGCTGGCTAGAGCAAGCTACAGACTCCTGGAGTTAAGATCATCTTGCCCTCTTGCCTTGCTGATAATTTTTCTTGGCTGATTTCATACCAAAGCTGTCACTTCCCAGTCGTGAAGCTGAAGCAAACATCTGGGACCTGGTGTTTGGTGGCAATGGGGAGTCAGTATGGGCTTTACAACTTTTCTGCACTGAGTCTCAGTGCTTCTCAGCTATTGAGAGGATTCACCTTGCTAACTGTGGGGTCAGACCCAGCAGAAGAGATGCTACCTCACCGTGGCTTTCAAAGCAATGGTGTGGATCCTTGTCACCTGCCTGGTAAGCGACCAAGTCCTTGTGCTTACTACTTTGAGTGTGCACTAGCAGAAGCACGGCTGGCCATCCCCTTCTGAAATCATAACGAAACCCCCACTGCTGACAGCCCAGCTTGCTGCTGGGGGCACAGCTGGCTTCAAGCCACTGCTCAGCAGCTTTCTCTGGCACCTTGTTGCGATGTGGTAGAATGCTCCTCCAGCTGAGGAGGAATAAGTCTTTAAAAAAATAGAAGTTATGGCTCCTTCAGTATGCAGTGTCTCCTTTCCCTCGTTGTTCAGGTCCTGTCTGTGTCAAGTTGGCTGAGCTTTGGCTGACTCAGACAGCTGAAGTCTCTTTAAACAGCCCCTGTAATTGAGCACTCAGAATATTAACTTAACAACTTGGTCCAAGCCAATGTTACCTCAGTGAGGATGCTGATGAGACTTCCCTGCACGAGTGAACCATCTTTCAGCTGGGTTCCCATGTCCAATTTTTGGGCTAGTAAGATTATGGCTACACACAGACAACAATCACTGCTTTCTTTCCCTCCTGTAATCTAAAACTAGGAAGGATGTATCCACTGGCAAGTAAATAAAAACTTCAGAGTCTGTTGGAAGCTACTTCATGAACTTTTTATAGAAACATCTGTAATGCTCTCTTTTCCCTCAATGGGGAAATTACTAAGTAGAGTTGAGAGAGTTGCAGCACTGACAGAAGCAGGGCCTCAAGTGAGAAACAAGTAGATCATGGTAACAACACCACGGGCCCTTGTGGCTGATCACTTTGTGGGATGCTGCTTTGGGATTATGGGTGGAGCTGATGGCAAAAGTTGTTTCTTCTTTACTAGGAAAACCATCTTCCTTACTCTCGCGCTGAGGATGTGTATTCTGTCAGCCTCAGGGAGTTGCCTTATGCTACTTTGTTATTAGGGATAGTTTTTTCTTCTTCCTTTGTAATTACAGAGGGAAATGGCTCAACTTTTGGCTTTTTCTGCCTTTACAAGCTGAGCTATGCTCATTACTTCACAGCTTAACCTTTCTGGTCCTGTCACATTGCACATGCCTAGCTTGCACTTACAGCTCCATGGCAAGTCTCGCTTTTTTGTTTTTTTATAAATGAGCTTAATTTTCTTAACTTAGTTTGAACTGCCTCCTTTAAGATGACACAGAGAAAAGGAATAGTGTGTGCTAGCCCTTCTGTGCTTAATCGTTCAACAGGGTCACAAAGGTGTGAGCCACTAGCTGGATTGGT